CTGGCCGGGGGCAGAACAACCTGGCTTCAGCTTTGAAAACGAGTGTGCAAACAGTGGGATAATATTTCAGGTGGCCACCACGGGTCAGTTTTTAGGGCTCCAAGTCCCCCTTCGAGCTTGTTTTCCTCTAGATCCTGTCCCCGTTTTCCCTGTGCTTTATTTTTCTCCTTGGCCTTCTCTTCCTTGCCTTCTGTACACCCTTGTATTTCCCACCCTGTGACTTTGCCCCCCACCTCTCTTCCCCCTTGCCATCTGCTACAAGGGTCATTTAATTTTCTAAGGACCAAGCTGGCATGGATGCACATAAGCTGCTAAATGATGCGTCTTTGTTTTGGAGCCCTCCCGTCCTTTCTGCTGTTCAGGACGGGTGTCCCCAGTAGCACCTATGCATCTAGTGAACCTCATGGTTGAGGATGGGTGATAGTTTTCCCGTATTTGCTCTATAAAATACCTTTTCAGTGTTGTTGGAAGTAAGACATGGGTTTCCTAACCCCACAAATCCTCAAAGCTTGGAAAAACTTGGTATTTTGGGCTCCTGGATTTTAGCCAAGGTGGATGAGGAGGGGCAAAGTGATGTCAATGGGATGTGGGTACTGTGGCCTGGCTGGGTGATTGCTTGGGGGTGATGCTGCTGTTGGGGTACTCATGTCAGCTAACCTCTCCCAGATCAACAGCGTTAATGTCTTTCAGGAGGAGACTGAATCAACCCTCCATCAAGGGCCATCAGTGGAGCTGCAAGATTCTCCAAGGTAAGCCAGGCTACTTTGAGTGCTTTTTGCCCAGAGAACTGGAAATTTGTCCTTTCTCTTCTTGCCATGGGCTTGCAGAGCTGTGGTTTTTTTCCTCCTATATCACTGAGACGACTCTGCTGCTGATGCCTTCACTGGGCAGCTTGGCCACGTCCTGGTGCCTTCAGTGACCTTAAAGCGTGCCAGAAACATCACAATTTTTCTGTGGAATTTGAGGCCCCATCCTGGGATTCGAGGGTGGAGGGAGAGGCTCCTGGCCCCATCCAACCTCCCTGAGGATGCTCGAGTCAGCAGGGTACGATTGCTCAGATGCACACATACCTACATAAATATGGAAGTAGGCGGTAGGAGAATGCTGGTGGGGAAAACCAGCCTCCCAAAGCCTGGGAAAAGGGTGTTTATTTCTGTCACCCCATGCTAGATCTGGGCAGAGATAGGAAGATGAATTCATAAAGCTGTCCCTTAGCAGGCTAATCCTCTTTGCATCTTAGAGGCAGGGGCTTTCATGTCAGGCGAGAGGCCTCTAATAAGACCTTCTGGGGAAGGAGCCCATCCCAAAAGGTGGCAGGACTTTGCCTTCTGAGTCATGAATCTTCTGGTGCTCAGCTGCTAATGAGATTGGAGGGGCCGAGTGTGTTTTGCTGGGCCATTTGGCCTAATGAGTTTAGTGCAGATTGTGTAATGTGTGTTCTGGCTGCCTGGAAAAGCACCCAGCCCCTGGCTTTGGGGGAATTTTCTGTTTCCATCACGAACAGACTGTAAGGCTTTTCTGAGCCCTCCTGTGTAGTTCTGATGTCCCACAGCCTGGTAATATGACATCAGTCTAAATGAACTTTTAGAAATGGGCCCAAAATCTCCCTTTCCCTTGCAGAAACTATATCTGCAGGATGTTTTGGCTAAAAACAGAAATCGTGGCTTTTTGTGCTTGCCTGGATGTGCAGGAAGGGACATCACCACTCTCCTTGGATGGGGAAACCTGGCTTCTCAACTCCTTCTTGGATGGCATTGGGGCAGCTGGCCATGCTTCCAAACTGGGCCTGCTGGGGGGATGCCAGGAATGGGGAGAGGCAGGCAATGGGTCTGACCCATGGGCTGGTTAAAGGGCCTGAGCTCAGTTCCAAGCTTGCCTAGCACGGACTGGAGGAATTGGGGCTCTGGTTGCTTTTCACTTGCTGCCCTGACCTGTTGGTCCCATAAGTTGTTTGGTTTGGGGTTTTGTTTTGGTTGGTTGGTTGTTTTTTGGTTGTGTTTTTTTTTTTTTTTTTTTTTTTTATGGTGGTGCTCATCACAAGCTGGGGGTGTGATGCTCTATAGCCTGGTGGACATCTCACTCAGTTGGGAAGTGGCAACGACCCAGCAGGGACAGCCCCAAGTTTCCCTGTGGTCAAGGGGGATACCATCACCTCAACCTTGTGGAGATGCAGGCTCAACCTAGAAGATGTAGGCTTGGTTTAGGCTGTGCTTGCTACTCCCTCATTCATCTCTTGCTTTGCTTTTTTAGAACATGAGCAACTGAAAGATGAAGCTCCCAACTCCCTGCCTGGTTAGGAGAGGCCTCGGGAGAAAGTATTTTATAGGGGCACGTTGCTGCTTTATAATGCTTGCGAGTCCCACAGAAATCCCCAAAACTCACTTGACCTTTCTGCTGACCAGGGAAACATTCCTGCATTCCCCACCCATATTGTTGATGACGGAGGTCGTGGATCTGGACACTTCTTGTCCTCCAGCTTGTTGCATCGATGAAGCTTGTGTCCTTCCCTGTCGTACCAATTCTCAGGCTGCCTTCTTAGGAGGGAAGTGGGGGGAGTCTGTCCCCACAGTCCCAGGGGATATGTCCTATCGTGAGGTCTCCTCTAGAGTGTCCATGATGCTCGGCCTAATGCCATCTCTGTCCTGCTTTCTGCTGGTGCTGCCAAACCTTGCAAACAAGTCCCCTTCTTTGGGCAGGCATGTCTCTGGGGACATTTCCTTGCCTCCCCCATTTGATCTGGAGACCTTGTGGTCCTGTTCATTTGAGCTTCCTCATCCCATAAGCTGCAACCTGGGGTCATCCTGTTCTTACCGGGGGGGCTGACCACTGCTGCTTTGGGGTATCTCCAGTCACCACAGCACCCAGGGTGCTGCCATGCTCGAAGGGAAACAAGGGCTCATTTGGGAACAATCCTGTAATTTTCCACGGAGGAGGTGGAGGCTGCCACTCACCAACGAGGTGAGAAGTGGCTTTGTTTTTCTCATAGGTTGCAGCACAAACCCAAGAGAGCAGGACCAGCAGCAGGACAGTGGCTCTCAGTGACCAAAGCTGGAATTGGGGTAGGAAACCCATGGGAATCTGTCACACACACCCCCCCCACCCAATTCTGCATGGGGCTCATGCTTTAGCATCTCCTTTTTGCACCTGGACTTTGGGACAATTGCATTTCTGTCCCAATTTTAGCTTTTCTTCCCTTCTTGGTGTTTTCACAGGTCTCAGAGCCAGGTGATGGTGTTGCTGGTGGGGCTGCATCACCCTGTGGGGCTTTGGAGGGGGATGTGGGGCTCGCTGCTGTGAGGGGGGGTGAGTACAAGGAGCTGGACCCCCTTGTCCTACAGCAGCAAGGGGATACCCAAGACCCCAAAATAAAAAAACTGAAAAAAGGGAAGCAGCAGGAAAAGGGATTGCTGAGAAAAGGAGGGAGAAAGAAATATGAATTTGAGGAAAGCCCTGGGGATGTGATGGAGGGCATGGAGGAGGAGGGTGATGATGGGGTCAGGAGTCAGGCAGGGGAATGGGGCAGAGCCAAGCAAGGGAGCAGTAACAGCACTTGGGGATGGGGTGATGGGAGGGAAAAATGGGAGAAAGGGAAAATGGAGGGAGTGGAGAAGATGGGGAAGAAGAAAATAAAGAAGGAAAAAATGTTGGAAGAGGAGCAAGAAGTGGAGAAGACAGATGAGAATAAAGGAGAGGGAGATGAATTGGAGGAGAAAGATGGGGTAGAAAAGGAAAACAAGGATGGAAAACAAGTAAAGGAGGAAGAGGAGGTGGATGAGAAAGGGGATGAAAGGTGGGAAGAGATGCAGAATATAGAGAATGGGCAGGAGGAAGAGGATGAAGCAAGGGAGGGAGATGTGCCAAGGAAAGAGAAAAAGGGGAAAATCAAGGAGAAAAAGTCTAAGGAGGAAAAAAAAGAGAAGAGGAAGAAGAACAAAAAGAAGAGTGATGAAGAAGAGACCCCCCAGAAAACCCAGAAAAGGAAATCTAAGGAAGGAGAAGAGAACAACAACAACAAAAAGGCTAAAAAGGAAGACAAGAAAGAAGAGACAGAAAACAAATGGAAATGGTAAGTGTTCTGTGTGCCTTTGGCCTGTGGGCTGGTTTAACACTAATGCAACCGGGGTTTTAGTTTTATTTCTTAGGGTAAAACTGTGAAAACTCTTTTTTTTTAGTTACTATTTTTGACTGCTTTGCTGTATTTTCTTAAGCCTTGAACTCAGCAGTCTTGACAGGAGGAAGGGGGCGAGAGATAATGGGAGGTTCTGGATATACAGTAGTATTTGTGCAATACTTTTTTTTGTTATTATTCTTGTAACAGTATGTATGATATGTATTCCTCCCAAAATGGCTTTGCTGGAGCCCAGCCAGGGAAGGGAGATGCTCATGGCTGATGGAAGGAGATGATCTGCACAACCCCCTGTAATAAAACAGCTTCCAAGACGGCGGGAGTTGTAGAGGATATAAAGGGGCTGTGCTTTTTTTTTTTTTTTTTTTGGTTGTTTGTTTTGCCCCTCTCTTTTGCAACAGTTTTTGGATGATCTAGTTAAGCTTTGTGGCAGGAAAGAAGGTACGAATGGGGCTGATGGATGCTGTGTTTTGGCCCGAGGTGGCAGGGAGCAGTAGCTTTGGCCACTTGGTGTCACTGTCTCCCAGGGCACCCCAATATCTGGGGCAGAGAAAAGGGCATTTAGGGGGCTGGATGCTATGGAATCTGTTGCAAATTTGGGCTTTGGGGAGCTGCTAGGGTGTTATCCCTGACAGGGTTGCCCGAACCTTTGGGGATAGCTCTTGTGGGGCACAGGGTGGCATGAAAAAGGGGATAAAGCAGGTTTTTTGCTAAAGTAATGACTGACGTGGTGGGGGGCTGGAGCCTGGCAAGGAGGCGAGAGGCTGGTCTGTAGCATCAGCACAATTTTACAGCAGTTTTGCCCCAAAACACGTGCAGGACTACATTTCCCATAAGGCTCCACCGCCTCGGCACGCGGGGGAGTGCCATGACCTGGACTGCTTGGGCAAGAGTGGGGTTTCTCGTGGCGATGCCGTAGGTCCCACCAGCTCCGCGTCGCGGTGGGTAGCGAGGTGCCGGGCCAGGATACTTGGGGTGAGCCGGGCATCCATCAGCCTCGCCGTCCCCGTGGCTGCTCGGTGGCATGTACCGGCGTCTCGCCTCCTCAGTGCTTGGCCGCAGGGCCCGTCACCCTCGCTTCACCCCCGTTTGCCTCCGGCCGGGTTCGGGGGGCAGCAAGAGGTGAGTGTGGGTGATGCCGTGCTGGGGAGCGCAGGGATTTGGGAGGAGAAATGAAGCCCTTGCAGCACCCCTCAAACCATCCCTGCAGCTGCCTGTCTGAGAAGATTCCAGCTAAGTTTTCTGTAGCCTGCTGATTTTCCTTTCAGATTTTTTTTTTTTTTCTTACGTTTTCTTGGCACAACGGACCTTTTGATGAGGTTCCCGCTTCCTGAGGGGAGGAGAAAAGTCAGAAATACTTCCGGGGCATTACTGAACGAGGAAAACTGGAGGTGGTTGGTTTTTTTTTTTGTTTTTTTTTGTTTTGTTTTGTTTTGTTTTGTTTTGTTTTGTTTTTTTTTTTTTTTTTTTTCTGGATGAAATCTTGCAATCATTGTTTTTTTTCCAGAGATGCTGGGGTTACGGGACCAGTGCCAGCCTGGCTGGTGCTGAGCCACAGGGTGCAGATCCCACGCGCTGCTGTCAGCAACGCTGTTCCGGAGGGCTTCTTCCTCTGCCCTTGAGCTGGGTTATCTCTTTTAATGTTATTCTGAACTTCAGGGTGGGTGTTCTGACTTTCTTTTAATTTTTTTGTTTGTTTTAATCTTCATTTTACATCTAAGGCTTGCAGTGACTTTAAAATCCTGGAGGGAGGAGAGACACATTAAAATCTTATTTACCTTAAGAGCATGGGCATAAATAGTTATGAACACTGTGTGTTGCCCATCTCTGGCACATGCACGTGAACTTCTGAACCTCCTTTTTTTTTTGGGGTGTTCTTTAAAAAAAGGAGGCAGCGATGGCTGTGGAGGGAAGGGAGGGTGCCTTTTAGTCCTTGCAGCCCATTCTGTGCAAACTGAGAAGCCTTTTTGCGGCGCAGCAGCGGGGTGGCTCTGCCTGTGCTGATGAGTTTGATCCATCCCTTCTCTTCCCCCCTGCCCTGCCACATCTCTCCATGTGACTGCACCAAGCGTGTCCCCTTCCCCAAGACGCCTTTCCCTGGGTTGCATTGCAGTCTTCCTCGTTTGAAAGAAAGGGGAAACTGAGGCAGTAGCTGAGACAACAGGATTTCATCTGGGTTTTGCAGCAACTTGCTGCTCACGGAGCATCTTCCCAGGGTGACTTTGGGAGAAGGTCCCAAACCCCAGGATTGGGATGTTCTCACGGGTCCCTGTGCATCTGTCCCAGGTGGGAAGAGGAGAAGAAAGAAGATGGGGTAAAGTGGACCCAGCTGGAGCACCGAGGACCCTACTTCGCCCCCCTTTATGAGCCGCTGCCTGACGACGTGCAATTTTATTACGATGGTATGTCTGCCTTGTGATGGGACCTGGGGCATGTGGTGGTGTCCTCTGCCTGGACAAAGAGCTGGTATCTTCTCTTGTATGGAGGGGGAAGCGTTGCAGACCACAAATTATTAAAGGGCCTAAATATCCCCTTGGATAAAGCCTGAACCCTGGGTTAAAGCTAGAGGGTTTTACACATGGTAGGAGTTAAGGGGTTATTGAGGAGCTAATGAGCCCTTGGTGATTGCAGGGTGTTTCATGCATCCCCCCGCCCTGTGCAGAGAACCCTAGGCAGGGTGAGGGCTTCAGTGCAGGTGCCTGAAGCTGGTTTTAGGGTGTTATGATGCAACCATGTGTGGAGCTGGGATTTGCACCCTTGCTCACAGCCTCTCCTGGCTGCAGGACATGCAGTGGTGGGGCAGGACCCTAAGTTTCTTGAGGAGGAAGGAATGCATCTTGATGCTGTTCCCTGAAGTCCTCATGTACCTCCGGTGAAGGTGGACTGGAAAAAAAAAGAACAATTTCTTTCTCGTTAAGATGCCTTTTGGGTTTGAGCTTTAAGTGAGCTCATTCGTGGTTTCCCCAAAAACTGGGAAAAGGTGGTTTTGCTTTTGAGAGCTGCAGCTGGCCTGTCTCGTGGCCTCAGTGATTGACACATCACTTGCTTTTCCAAGATGTTGCAGGGCTTGGAAGGGCTGTTCCTGGTCATGGCTCCTGATGTTGTCCCCAGGTCCACCATGTATCTCCTTACAACAACTCAGGGTGTCAGTGAGGGGCTGAGACCTGACAGGACAGATCCAGGTCTCTGCTGTCCTCCTTGGTTTCCTACCATGCCTGTTGGGCTGTCTACTCCTCGCTGCTCTCATCTTCATCCCTGAACTGTTTTCTGCCAGATCAAGGGAAGGAGGCAACAAGGACTTTGGGGCTGGATCAAGGGATGCTGGAGAAGAAAGGATCACAGTTCCGTGGGGTTTTGGTGGTCCTCAACCTCCTCACTGGGGCTTCCTATACCTTACAGATTTTTTTTACAGTCGGAAAAAAAAATAAAAGGCCAATTTTGGGAAATGAGGTGCCTGGCAAAGCTGTCACCAGAGGGCACTGCTGGAACATCGATGGGAGACACTGCTGGAGACTGACTTTGGCTCTGTGAGAAGCCCTGGCAGCTGTATATAGTCCTGCACAGGCTTTGGACATTCTCTGTGGTTTCTGAGTTGTTGGAGACCCATCAGTGTGTTGTGCGCATCTCGGCTGGTGGCTTGGGTGACGTTGGCTCATTTACAAAAAGATGTCCCTGTTCTTGGATGAAAAAGTGTTTGTGGGAAGGTATCAACCCCAAGTAGGAAGGGACTGTGGCCGAGCTGGTATATGTAGGCTGTAATGGAGCTGCTCTAAGGCTGTGACCCACCATGCCCTCCGGTACGGGTGGGGGTCAGGACCCCAAAAACCAGTGTGTCTGGTGCAGGTAGGTTTTGAACCATCCAGTGGAACTCTGCAGGGTTCTTTTCCTATAACTTGCCTAGAAATGCTATTCCAAAGCATTGGTTTCCTAGGAAGAGCCAAGCTGTTCCCTGGTTTCACTAGACTTCATTACTGTAGCCAAAGATCTTGGGGGAGGATGGTGGCTTTGTCTCTTCCAATAAATGATCCAAGATCCACTGGACAAACATGAGAGGCTCTTGCACCCGTATTTATTGCAAAAATCTCAGCTTTGAGCTTCCCATGATTGTTCCATCTGTGTGGGAAAGTATTTGAGAGAAGACCTCTCCAAGTGGGGTCCTGGATGAGATCGTGGTCAGAAAGCAAACCTTTCTGTGTTGCTCTGTGGAGCCATTAATTTGGGACTCGTCATGGCATGGTGGCTGCCGAAAGCCTTGTGGCTCAGTGACCTTAAAGTAAATCAGGGTTTCCACTCTCCTGGAAAAGAAAATGAAGTGTGTGATTGCAGATGGGCTGCAGCAGCATCCTGGTGTGCCAAGTGCTCTGGTTATTGATCTGCAGACGAGGCCGTGCTTGGTGCAGGGGGGGTGCCAAAGTCTTGCCAGTGTCTGTTCTCATCCGTTGTCCCCATTTTGGCACTGTGGTGAGCATGGGGACTTGCTGAACAACTGCCTGGGGCTGCAGGGTTGGGCTATCCCCATAATTGATACTAAAGGTCCTCTCCCTTCCTAGGTAAACCCCTGAAGCTGAGCCTGGCCACAGAGGAAATTGCCACCTTCTATGCCAAAATGCTTGATCATGAATATACAACCAAGGAGATCTTCCAGAACAACTTTTTCAATGACTGGAGGAAGGTACGTTCCCCGTGAGGGCTTCCTTGCTGCCCATCCTCTGCTTTATACATGCGGCATTAAACTTGTAATCCCCAGGCAGACCGTAGGCTGCAGTGTGGGTTGGAGGGGATGAGGAGTTATTTTGTGGCTTAGTTCTTTACAATTATGAGATCCTAAATTAGATGCTTATCTTTCTTGCTTCTTGTGGGTTTGGGCTGGGGCTTGCTGTCTGCAGCATCCTCGAGGGCTTCATGATGACCCTTGTGCTCCCCCCGAGTTTTAGCGGTGCTGCCTAAGAAAGCAGGTATTGGGTCTTGCAAACAACTTCACAAACGGTTTAGGCCGTGTGTCCTTCTGAAAGACTAACCTCACGCTCCCACAGCACCATGGCTTAGTTCCCAGGCAAAAGCAAGACCTCTCCTAGGGCAAGTTTACGTGCCCCCAAATACCTTCAGTTCTGCTTGCAGTCGTGCTCGGAGGCTGCTTGTTTCCACAGAAGGGGTTAGAGGTTGTTCCACCCCAGATCTGGCTTCGTTTTGCTTATTTGTGGGTGCAGACTCAGGTGTCCAGAGGCAGCCTGGCCTCCTGCCACAGCAGCTTTGTCTGCCCTTGGGGTGGCTGTGGCTAGGATAGCTGGGGTGGCTGCTTCCTTCTGATATTTTCTGAAGAACTGGCATGTGGGTCTCCATTTCCTTTTTCGTGAAGGAGAGGCACAAGGCAGCAGCCCTGTGTGGAGTCAGTTTTGCCTCTCTGATTTACATAGCCCCTCTCATCTCTTGCTCAGGAGATGACATCAAAGGAGCAGAAAATAATCAAAGACCTGGACAAGTGTGACTTCAGGGAGATCCACAAGTACTTTGTGGACAAAAGTGAGGCACGGAAAGCACTCTCTAAAGAGGAGAAGCAGGTGAGGACTGTATCCTAGGACATCTGAGACTGGCTGATATGTTTTTGTGACCAACTTGGGGTATTTTGGCTCCTGCTTGTCTCCTTTCCTGGTGTTATGCCTTCACCTGGGACCTCTTAGTCCTGTGGACCAACTCTGTCTCAATGACCATCAAGACCCCTCTTCATGAAGTTTATCTGCAGACACTGCATGTTTCATGGCTTTGCAGGGTACCAGTCATCCTCAGACCACAGTTTGGGGTCCTGCCCTGTCCAGAGGATGGGTGACCTTGCTAAGGGGCTAGTGGTATGTAGGCTTGTTCCATCAATGTTGGGACAGCATCACTGTGAGGGTTTCCAAAGTAGGTGGAGATGAGCTATTTGTTAGGAGTGGACTTGGACCAATGCTCACCTCTTCCTCCAACCCTTTGAGGTCTGCCTTTCCAGCCTTGTTTTTTTTTTTTCTGGGGAAAGGAGGGTAGCAAAAGGCAATTACCAGTCGTAAGGTTTTGGTTTCATCCTGTGAGATGGTCCATGTTTCAGAAACTGAAGGAGGAGGCGGATAAGATCCAGGAGGAATATGGGTACTGCATCCTTGATGGGCACCGGGAGAAGATAGGCAACTTCAAAACTGAGCCACCGGGGCTTTTCCGTGGCCGTGGGGACCACCCCAAAATGGGCATGCTGAAGAAGAGGATAATGCCAGAAGATGTTGTCATCAACTGCAGCAAGTGAGTTGCTGTGGGAAGCGCTGAGCTCGTGGGGCTGCTTTTGGGATGGGTAGCCTGGAGCTACCATGGGGATTTTGCCATCTCCTACAATCACTGCTTTACACACCTTGAGGTTTGAACTCACTGGGTCCCTTTTAACCACCTCCTGGGCACCTCCACGTGCCTGCTTTGCAGTTAGGTCAGACTTTTGGTGTTTGTTTTTTTTTTTTTTTTTTTTTTTCTGTGGATGTACAGTGGCCAGGGAGCTGGTCAGCAGCTCCCATCTCTCACTGGTGCCTGCAGTGTTCACCCAACATGAACTGCAAACACTGCAGTGCTCCTATGGCCTCTTGGAAAAAGGGACAACTCCGTACTCCTCCCCCTGTGCCCTTCTTCCAAACAAGCCATTCCTCCTCACTTTATGGCTCCCTTGTGCTGGCTGGAAGCATCAGGATACTCACTGGAGGGAGGAAAATCAGTGATGGGATTAAGAGTGTTTGCCCTCCAAGTTACATGAGTTGGATTGGTCTTAAACCACCCATGTGAAGACCTTATGGCCTTGATTCAAAACACTCCCCCAGCAGCCCAGCGACTTCTCCTGTTGTCCCCAGTAGCTAAAGAGCTGATCATCTTGTGGAGCAATTTTGTGCGGGCTGTATGTTTTCTGTAAGTAACATTCCAATGTGGTGACCATCTTTTGGCTCACTGCGAAGAAGCAGTTGAGCTGACAACCTGGTGCTTCTTCATGGTCTGAGGGCTGTTAACCTTGCTCTGCCCACAGGGACTCCAAAATCCCCGAGCCACCAGAAGGGCACAAGTGGAAGGAGGTGCGCTTCGACAACACGGTTACCTGGCTAGCCTCCTGGACGGAAAACATCCAGAACACTTTGAAGTACATCATGCTGAACCCCAGCTCCAAGCTGAAGGTCGGAGTGATGCTGCTGTTCAGACAGAGCTGTTATCTTTTGGGCCACTGGCTTTTTGCCAGGTGGAAAGATCATGGGAAAGCAGAGATGTGGCACATCAGCAGACGTGTACTTCCCACCCCCCCACCCCCCTTTAAAAAAAAGGAGGATAAACTAAATTAATTGTTGTGCCGTTGAGCGGTGAGAGGATAGAAATGATTGTTAAGCATCAAACCTATTCCAGGGAACGGGTTGCTACTGGTGGAGCCATCCCTGTGTTGTGGTGGTCATGTGTGCCCAAGGAAGGCGGCTGAAAGCCAGGCAGGGGCTGAGAGGGTCCACAGGGACTAGTGTCTGTGGGGTTGAATAAATTTATGCCAGTAAATGGTGATTCTACCTCTCCTTATCCTCCGTCTGTAGTGCCATAGAAGGGAGGGAGTGAACACTGTGAGGAGGGAAAGGTGATTTAAAGCTATTTCCAGTCCTCAAAGTAAAGGAGGAAACTGTGTGCAAGCTGGGCACAACTGAGCCAAGTGTGTTGTGTCAGTCTACATCGGTGGTGGCCAAGCAGCTGTGGCCATGGCCACGCAGTGCTTGACCCCTTGGTTCCTCAACGGCTGTGTGCTGGCTGCTAGCTGGTGGAGGACACCTCCAGACCATGAGCAGCTCAGATTTGGCCAGGATCCCAAGTTCAGCACAGGCAGCAGAGGGCACAGAAACCCTAGATAAGCCGTTTCTGCTCGGATTTTTCTCAAGAAAACAATGGGGTTTAAGCAGAAGTTAGATGCTGGAGGTGCTCCCAGAACAGGGCTTGACTAGTAGGGGTGGAAAGAAGATGAGGCACTGGGTGAAAATGTCTCGGCTTCTCTTTCCAGGGAGAGAAGGACTGGCAGAAATATGAGGTAGCCCGGCGCTTAAAGGATGTTGTCCACAAAATCCGTGCTCAGTACCGAGCTGACTGGAAATCCAAGGAGATGAAGAAGAGGCAAAGAGCAGTGGCCCTCTATTTCATTGATAAGGTATCTGCAGCCTCACCATGGCCCCAGGTCCCCCAGCCCTGTTGAAGTTTGGGCTTAGCTTACCTGATCCACCCCAACCTGCAGGTTTTTTTGGTGTCTGTTGGCTGTACTAGCCAGAGTTATTCCTTTTGAGGCATCTGGCAATGATCATGGAGGACTCTTACCATCTGATGATGCTTGTGTGAGGACACAGGAGCTGTGCTGTCCTTCTTGGACTCTACCTGCATGCGTGTGTCTGTGTGACCACGAAAGCCCCACTGGAGAGCTGGATAACTTTATTCTGGGGGGATGTTCTAGGGTTTCTTTGAGCAGTGAAATAATCTTCTGCTGGAGGCAGTCACTGCTTGGTATCCACCAGGGTCCCTGCAGTCATTCAGTGAGGCACTGTCCTGAGAAAGCTTTCTTTTCCCCCTGTCCCTGCTGTCAACATTAATAACCTTGGAAGGGGGAATTGAGGTGGGCTGGATGACTCACTGTCTGCTTCCAGCTGGCCTTGAGAGCTGGCAATGAGAAGGAGGAAGGGGAGACTGCGGACACGGTTGGCTGCTGCTCCCTGCGTGTGGAGCACATCAAACTGCACCCCAACCTGGATGGGCAGGAGCACGTGGTGGAGTTTGACTTCCTTGGGAAAGACTCGATCCGTTACTACAACAAAGTGTCAGTGGAGAAGATGGTGAGTGGGGTGGAAATGGAGGCAGCGGCTGGCATGGCAATTTGGTGCAGGGTTAGTTGGGTGGCTCGGTTCGCTCAGTGGTTGTCAGTCCCAAATCTGCGTCTGAAACCTGTTGCAAAGATGCCTCCTGTGCTTTAACAGCACAGTGGCAGCATGTGCATGAGATGCGACCGTGCTGGGTGACGAGGACATCCACATGCTGACCCTGTCCTAGAGAACAGGGAGAAACTTTGGGGGGTAGGGTTTTCAAGGTCATTCTAGCCCATGAACTATGAGTGAGAAGTCTTTCCTCCTGGAGCATCCCTCGTTTATGGGTGGACATTAGGACTTAAACTCGTTGATATTTATTTGTTTGCTTTACCCATGGCTTAAACAACTTATGGCCTAAATTATTTTAATGGTGTTTGTGGCGAAACTGGAGTCCCAGGGATAGTAGAGATCTGAGAAAAAACAGCCTGTGGCACCAGTGGCTCAGAGGTCGCAGTGGCGGCCCTTGAAGTTGAGAAGGTTGGTGGTGTGGTAGGATGTATACTACACAAGTCTGAGTCTGGATTAAGAAGCAGGTAGAGATGAGGGAGATATCTGGGAGCGATTTTCTTCATGTCCCTGACCAGATCCATCCCTTCCTCCTTTTTTAGGTGTTCAAGAACCTGCAGCTCTTCATGAAGAACAAGAACCCAGCAGATGACCTCTTTGACAGGCTCAATGTGAGTTGTCACCTCTGAGCTTTTGCAACAGCACTGCTGGCCCAAAGGGAGTAGAAGCAAACCTGTGACATCCCTGTCCAGTCTGCAGGCTCCCAGGCTGTGGTGCTGCATCAGTGTCATCCCTCACGCTGGGCTATCTCCCCTCCAGAGACACCACTGTAACTATTTTAACACACCTTATTGGGGTGCTGTGATTTATTTTCATTTTTTCAGTCCTCTTTGTGCACTGGTAGCATCTCTGCCTCTGAATGTGGTCTTGGCTGCCTGCCTGCACCCATGAGTAACCTGTGTCCCTGCTAAGGAGGTGGCTTTCTGCTCCTTCCCTCCTCTAACTCATCTGCTTGGGCTTTTTTTTTAGCCTGGGAAGGCCTGCCCACGCACATGTTGCTCGGGGCATTGCTGGAAGTGTCAAACCTCAGCTGTTTGATGCTTTTACACCTTGCTGAGGCTCGGAAGAAGTGTGAGAGGCTGCCGGAGCACAGGGATGCCGGAGAGATGTGCTGCAGCCTTCCCTCTTGAGCTACTCCCCTGCAAAAGCCTTCTCCTTCCTTTTTCCTCAGTATGGGATATGGGGTGCTGCCACCCATGTCCCCCTCTGCTCGCATCTCCTACAAAGCCACTTGCTTATCTTTCTTCTGAAGAGGCTGCTCCTCTCTGATTATATAGGATTTATCTGTGATAGGTTTTCTTGGTACAAATAAGGCTTCCTCCGAACCCAGGATGACTCTTCTTAGCATCTTCTGTTTCCACTCCAACTACAGGCCCATGTGCTCCGTCAAACAGACATACCAGATATGATATATGTGAGATGTGATATTGGATGTGAGATGTGTCCTCTTGGACACAGATGGGCAGAAATTGTCGACTTCCAGAGAAATTCTTTGTGGGTGTAGGTGGAATTTGTGACAGGTTTTGGTAGATGTGGGCCTGACCCACCAAGTAGATCTGCAAGCTACAGGAGATTATTTTTTTTTTTTAATGCTTGATTTGCTTGCTTAGGCAGAAGATGGTCTGCAAAGCAAGTACTTTATTGTCCTGGATTCTGTGTGTTCTTCCTTCCTTTTCCCCTCACTTTGTTCTGTCTTCCTTCCCCCAGACATCCATTCTGAACAGACACCTCCAGAGTCTGATGGATGGTTTGAGTGCCAAAGTGTTCAGGACCTACAATGCCTCCATCACCTTGCAGGAGCAGCTCAAGGCACTCACGAACTGTGAGTTATAACACTGTTCACGGTATCACCAGCTGCATTATGCTGCCAGTGGGATCACTGATGTCCATCCATTGCATTGGGGTCCCTAGAACTGCCTGCCCCTCCTTGGCAAGCGATGCACCGCGTTGTAGGGTGGTGTGTAACCTACGGGGGCATGCGGCAGGTTGGGAACAATGTTAAGTGAGAAATAGTTACCCACTCAGCAGTAGCCTGACTGACTGATAGCCAAGATGAAAGCATTTCTTTTCCCCCACTCCTTTAATTGCTGGTTGGTTGCATTATTTTTGCCTGCCTTTGCCACATCACCTTGGAGTAATGAGGCAGTGTCGGATTCGGTGATGCTTAAGTGTCCTTCACCAATTTCCACAACCAGTATCGCTCTCCTCTGACAAAGGATGGGAAAAGCAAACAACTTGCTGCTGTTCTGATCTCTTCCCTGCCTTCCCCACCTCCCAGGAAGGTGACAATGGTGCTTCCATTTATTTTCAGCTGAAGACAATGTCGCAGGAAAGCTCCTCTCCTACAACCGAGCTAACCGAGCTGTGGCCATCCTGTGCAACCATCAGAGGTCCACACCGAAAACCTTTGAGAAGTCAATGCAAAACCTCCAGATCAAGGTGAGATAGACCAAACTGAGAGCCCCAGACCCGATCTCACCTCTGATCTTCGTTTTTCAGGAATGGGGAGAGGGAGGGTGAATAATCTGATGCCTAAAGAGATCACATTGATCAAGCATGACAGGGAATGAACCAGAAACAGTGGCTTTTTTAATTAGTGCAGAGACATCAGCAAGCCAGGGATGGACTAAGGTCAAATGCTGGATGAAGCACACTTGGCATAGAGTTTGTTTTTTTTATCGCTTGGTGTCTTCAAACCAAGTTGAGTGCCTTTTGTGATGGCACAGCTTTAAGACAGTTGGCTTGGGACCAGGGAAATTGATTTTTTTTTTTTTTTTTTTTTTTTTTTTTTTTCTGTCTGGATGTTTGCAGGAGGACCAACTGAAATTTCATGGGTTTGCTCAAACTACCACTTTTAGTTGTCCTCAGCTCTTGCTCACATTCCACTGGTGAGCTTGGGGCTTTGCAGTGGGTCCCAGCACTGTCACGAGCCAGTCGGTCTTGAACAGTTGCACAAGACAAACAGATAAGAGCTGTGTTTCTGGCATCTGGGTTGCGAGGATCTTTTGCAAGATGCTAAGAAATGCTTGAGCTCAGCAGGCGTTGCAGGGGCAAGTTATTGGGGCTGGAGTAGGTTTGGTAAGAAATTGGAGAGGAACACACGGGCTGACTTTATATTTACCGTCACAGATCGATGCCAAGAAGCAACAGGTGGAGGAAGCCCAGCAAGAGCTGAAAAAAGCTGAAGATGAGTTTGAAGACACAAAAGATGCCAAAGCAGAAGCGTGAGTAGTGGCTCCTCCTTACAATTCCCTTGTGAAAGGGATCTCAGTGCTGAGGGCCTGCAGATGGGGTTGATGTGGTCCAACACCCTAGGTGCAGCTCATCAGAACTGACATGCCATTGTTGGATATTCTTGTTCTGTGGCCTTGTACATACTTTCTTGTAACAGTAGGATTACAAAAAGGTCCTTTGAGGGGGATTTCTTTGTGATAGGGCACACCTCGCTGAATACTGAGACTTCAACCCAAGCTGCTGCCTTGGATTTATCCTCCAAATGTCATGGTGCAAAGGATGACTAGCTTGAGGTTGGAGCTGGGGATACACAGACTGGCCTCGATGCGTGTTTTTCTTGTGGGACACTTGAGTGATGGATTGTGGCTTCTCTGATCTCTGCAGTAGTCATTGCATGGGGACTGTCCAAATTTGCTCCCTGCTCCCAGACCCTAAATGTGACTTGCTGCCCAGAGACAAGAGAAGGCTGGAGAAGAGAAACAAGAGTTGTATCTTATGTTTTACTCTGGGTTTTCTTGTTTTCCGCTCACGACTTGCGTTGCTGAGATGCAGAGCAAATTGTCAGAGATGGTCATTGCTCATGGACCCTGGATTTGAGGAGGTGGTCTCTGCTGGGTGCTGGCTTTTGTGCTTGCCCCACTTTGGTAATAATAATTCTATTTTTAAAAGTGTCTTATGAGGTCCGTGTACTTGGGAAATGGGTTAGTGCTGAATGGCGTCTTCCACTTTGTCATTCAGGAGTATTTCTTGGTTTAAGGTGAATGTAGAGGCTGCTCTGAGCTGAAGCTTGTTGGCTTTCCATCACGCTCCCAGGCAGCAGCAGACCAGAACTGCTCTCTATTTCACCTCTGCTGCTGCTTCTCCTTTAACATGCTGTTTGTGTTGCTCTTCCTCTACCCTCAGCAATGTGGAGAAGAAAAAAAAACTGTTGAAGCGACTGGAAGAGCAGCTGGCCAAGTTGAATGTCCAGGCCACAGATAAGGAGGAGAACAAGCAGATAGCTCTGGGCACGTCCAAGCTGAATTACCTGGACCCCAGGATTAGCATCGCTTGGTAAGTCTTGGGCATGCTATGGGGCAAAAGTTCCTTTAGAGATGTGCAGATCACCTAGAACTGCCTGGGGAGGGGAATAAACACATGCCTGATCCCTTAGAGGAAAGGAATAAACTTGGTTTCTGCCCAGAGAAACCGGCCCAAGCCCTAGAGGTGTTGGCGGTCAGCAAAATCCAAAGCTAAGGCTTCCCTTACTACAAGTAACTGTTTGCAAGATGTTCCTTCTGGGTTTAGGGCGAGAAGGGGTCACTTTGTCTTTATTAGCAGTGACACAAAGAAAATTCCTTAAGGAGCTTGGGGCGAAGGAGTTTGCATGGGTGAAAGATGCTGTACCCTAAGCGGAGGGGACTGCGGTGGTGGGAGCAGAGTGGGACGGGTAGCACATCCCCACGGCTGTCTCATGGTCTGTACAGGTGCAAGAAGTTCGGCGTGCCCATCGAGAAGATCTACAACAAGACTCAGAGGGAGAAGTTTGCCTGGGCGATCGATATGGCCGATGAGGACTTCGAATTCTGAGAACAGTGCCTTTTATGCTGCTGCAGTTGTTGCCGGGTTGGAGCTGGGGGTTGTCTAATGAAGGGTTTTGATACAGGCAGTTTGTGCCTTTTTGCATACAAAAGAAAACACCCAGTTTCTAGTTGAAACAGGTATTGCTGACTTGTGACACTCATCCTGATTGCAGTGACTTTGTGAACTTTTAATTCTTCTTTAGAGTTGCCAAGTGCTTTGGATCTTTTCTTTCCTCTTCCGGAGTCTAGGAAGAAGATTGAATGAGAGCCTTAATTGTGCTGATAAACAAGATTAGACCTAATCCCATCTCCTTGATGTAATGGAGCTGTGCTGTCCTTTTCAGACTTTCTGAATTGGCTTGGTGGGGAAATACAAGCCAATAACAGCAGCAAAACAGGCAGCTGCAGTATAAGGCCTGGGTCAGGGATATGCAGGAAGGAAAGGAAAAAATCTCAGAGTTTTACATGTCAGGGTATTTTGTCTTTCAGCTCCAGGAGAGAAGAAAATTGTGCAACTGCACAAACATAATAAAAATGGAAAAATGTTCTGGGACAGTGCAAATGTCACGGTAGGAGGAGGAGGGAGAGGAAGATGCTGGATTAAAAAGCAGGATTAAAAATCCTCACATTGAACGGATGACATTCACCTCGGCATGAGCAAAGTGTACTTTTTCACCCCTCTGTGGTTAAACCTTGGTCTGGGAGAGAACATCTCATTTGGGGCCATACTTTCCTTCCCCTACTTGCTTCGGTTGGCTCTGGCTCACCTCGCTGTACCCATAGTAGAAACTAAACTGTTCAGCCCCAGATTTAGCACTGGGAAAGGATGATGCGGTGGGGCTGGACCAGACTGTGGTGGGATGTGAGGGTGCTGGGGAGAGGCACCGAGCTTGCTGGAGCTGTGCCTGCGTGGGAGAACAGCTTTGTCATCAAGCTGCATCCTCCCCAGTCTGTTCCCAGTGGGGATGGAGCAGGCAGGGATGGGTGGTAGAAACTGCTGGTGCTTGCTGCCTAATTGGCTGCTTTTCAGAGGTGGGGGAAAAAAAAAAAAAAAGCGATATCAGCATGTACCTGGCAACAGTTAGCCTACATACCAGTGAATCTCAGGTGTAAGCAAGCTGTTGCATTGGCAGCAAAGCCTTCTGGCATCTCAGGGCTGATGTTCAGGTTGCTGTAGTCCAAAGCTCGGTGCTTCCCATGTGTTTATTCACAGCCACTTGTTCTTGTGTTTAAACCGTTGCTATTTTGGTTGGAAGTCGAGTACTTGAAATGCATTTCATTAAAAGTGGAAATGATTTTTTTTTTTTTTTTTTTTCCTGAGTATCGGTGACTAGAGGCTTTTTGCAATTCATCCAGGATGCGGTTCTGCTGTGAGCTGATGGGCAGAAGTCTGAGTCAGGGCTCAGCCTCTATAATGGGGTCTGTGTATGCTCAGTTGTCTGCAGGGGATTAGGCTTGATAGGAAATCCTCTGCCTTGGAGCAATAAGCCTGCCTGCAGATCTTCAAAAAAAAAAAAAAAAAAAATTTTGCATATGGGCCCTTAGGGACCAAGCACAAAACAGCCACCGCAATTTAATTGCTGCATGATAGCAGAGTCGTGACAAATGTAAGGGGAAATGCACGGGTGAAGCCAACGCTGTTTTATCTCGTAACTGCACTGGAGTGTGCTCCACCACTTGGCTGAGATGTGGCAGCTTATGGAACTCTAACTAGACTGTTTTTGCAAGCCCCAAGAGCTCCAGCTGGTTTTAATGAGGCAACTGACTCTTAAAACAGGGATTTAAATAAATCTGAACGGTGGCAAGGTTTATTTTTCTGGCAAAGGAAGACCAGTTATCAGCTGTACAAGCAACAGACACGAGCTGCCAAGCATGCCTTGACCTCTGTGTTGGATTTGTACCTGTGAAACAGAGGTAACCACTTTGGTCCCAATGGGTGGAGATGTTTTTCTGTGTACCCTGCTAAATGTTTTCAGGCTTCCAAAAGAGGATAAAGTGAATATTTGCCACTAAGTGTGGTGGAAGGTTTGTTCATCCCAAATCAAGGAGTAATTCTAGCTAAGCCCCTAGTGAAACAGTGCTCCTGTTTTCCAGCAGCAGGAAAAAAAGAGCAAGACGTAATTGAATGAGCAAGATTGGTGTTTCCTAAAGGAAAAAGTCTCGAGTACCATGTGAGAGAAAGGAGCTGCATTAGTAGCAGCTGCTGGGGGAGCAGTGGAACACCACCCCAAAAAGCAAATCCTACTGCAGTTCTGGGGGCAGATGAGTAACTTGGTTCTTGGCCCCTTCTCCAGCATGTTCCCACCACTGCTGGGTGGGGATGGGAAAAGTCTGGGTAATTGCAGTCCCATATGGTCCTGTCCATCCTCACCCTGTTTTTGCTGAGGTGGTGGATCCACGAAGTCTGTTCTTGGCAATATTTCATGCTTACAGGGCTGTGCTTTCTTCAACAGCTCCACTGTCCCTATCAAAACATCCTGCCTCTCACCAAAAGGCCATGCTTGAGGCAAAATTGAGCTGGTTCAACTCCAGTGAGAGCTCAGCTAATGAAGCTGGAGGTCTTGTGTTTGCTTTCTGCAGCAGAAAAGGAGGGCCAGGCTGGCAGATGAGCTCTGTGCAATACTGAAGGACTTGTTGGCCATGATTGGATTGTCAGGGCTGCAAAGACCTGCCAGTGTCAGCTAAATAGTAATTATTAGCTATTCTGTAGGAACTTAAATGAAGTGCTCTTTCATCAAAGGGTGTGTTGCCCTATAAACCATGGTCTGTGGGGCTTGACCATTTCTGTGAAAAAGCTCAGTGAAACCAAGGTTGGAAATCCAAGTGCATGGGTGGTATGAAGCAAAGGCAAGGTGGAGAGTTCATGTTGCTGAGCATCAAATAACACATACTGGGGTGAGTAGCACAATGTGTTTGAAACAGCTAAGCTTTAGAGAGGCTGATAAGTCTGGGGAGTGTCCTACTGGCCCTTAGCCATAAGCAAGTGAGATACAGGTTGGAGAAGTTGAGCTACTTGCCATTGCCATCACAGTGGCATGAAACAGCAGTCTGGCCTAATGCCCAATCTGACAGGGATTTTTCCACTGCTCAGGACCCTCTGGAGCAGGATCATGCCCCTATCACAGAAACCTCTGAGGGTAGAATCCCTCTCCCAGCCCAACAGTTTAGGGTTACCTGGTGACTCTAGATGAACCCTGGATACCTTGGCCCCTGCCGGGGATGTTTTCAACTCAGCTTTTCCCATTAAGTGCCTTTTCTGCAGGAACAGAAAAGCCTGTGCATTGATGCCTAAGACATTTGGTAGCCCAAAGTCAAGACACAGCATTTTTGCCAGTGTTTAACTAGTGAAATGCAAAGTCAAAAGTTTAGCATTTTTCCTTTTGAAATTACTTTTTTATTTTAAAGAAAAAAAAATAATTACAAAAAAAAAAAGCGGAAGATCTGGCTTCAGGCAAAACCAGAAGTGGTACTTTCTCCTTTACCTTCTTGGGTTACTAATGTGCTTTTCATAAAAACCTGTTGTTCATATTGGTTGGGAGAAGACATCAAGGCAAATTTACCAGGAACAAAGCTGTCTGCTCATGCTGATACTGGGATGGGCTTAGGGCTGCTCTAGTTACATAATGATGCTTAAAAAAAAAAAACCTTCTGGGGGCTGGAGGGTTTGTCTCCCTGCCTGGAGGCTGAAGATGTCCTGCATTGTGTGATGGCACAAGGACAACTCTGATGCTGTGGCTGTTTAGTAAGATAAACCTCTGGGTGATAGGAGATAGTGAGAAGTTCTTCTTGTTTTGTTTTGACATCTGCTGCCCATGCTCAGCCTCTTCACAGAAATGCTGACGTTTGAGAGGGTCTCTGGAGGGCTTGAGTCCAGCCACCTGCTCAAAGGAGGGCCAACTTTGGGTTGCTCAGGGCCTTCTCCAGACAAATTTCAGTATCTCCAGGGAGGTAGATTCTCCCGCCATATCTCAGGGTCCCTGTTTTGGCAGTTATTTACTGCCCTGGCAAACTTTTTTTTTCTTCCTTATATCTGGTTGGAATTTCCTTTGTTGCATCTTGTAACCAGCTGCTCGTCCTTTCTCTCCGTACCTCCAAGGAGAGTCTGGATCTGGCCTCTCTATAGCCACACCCCATTAAATTGCTGAAGGCAGCAGCTCTATCTCCCCCCTTAGTCTCTTCCCCTCCAGCCTGCCTTGGAGCATGGGGTCATTCAACCCCGTATCTGGGACTCTGAGCTTCACCTTCCACCAGCCTGATGAGCCTTGGAGGGATGTGGTAGGAGCTTCTGGCTGAAGGAGGTAGGACCATCTCAAGCTCTAGCTTGGGGGTATACAAGCAATACCTCTCCCCACATAAGTTGTTTGAGCAGGTGGAGGCTCTGATGGGGCTCTATCCCTGCCTGTTGCTTCTACATCATCATTCTGGAGAGATGGGAACATAAAGCCTGCACGTTGGCACCTTTTGCAGGCACTAAAGCCCTTGGACCAAGCCATGCTCATCAGCAACCTTCCCACGTTGTGCTTTCTCCAGGGGATGAGTCAAGCTCTTGACGCGTGGCCAACAGATTATTGATCCGTGTTGATGGAAAAAGTCCATCAGCCTCTTGTTTCTCAGAGCTGCCTTCCATAGCAGTGGGGTTGGCAGCACTGCTCCCCTGTCCACCGGGGCTGCGTGGGGTGGAGAAGGGGTCCCGGTGGGTGATATGAGGAAGGGCCATCATCAAAGCTGCTTAGCTGCTCTTTCATTTGCTTAATGACAGGGCCTTTGCTCACCCGTAGGTGGTTCAGAGTGATAGGCTTTCAGCTGATTCATCTTAATATTGTGTAGAGAGGGAAGTGGGTGTGCTGAAAGCTCCTCAGTGAGGAGCATTTGCTGTTGAACTGCTGCTTATGCTCTGCATCTGCCTCCTGGTGAGTGATCACATTAAGGGGAAAACAAAACAGCTGTAGTCTGGCAGACACGTGAGAGGTGGGAAACCCCTGTGGGGTTGTGAGCAAGAGAAATGTGAAAGGTTTCCAGAGGTTTTTTCCTCCCCTGCTGCCTTCCCTTGAGGTCTGATGTTGCAAAAATAAAAAATAAAAAAAAAAAAATGGGAAAAATGGAACAGAAACTTTAAAGGGGAATGCTTTTGTCAGTGTGGGAGGAAAGGGGTAGAACACTTGTGACTATCATAGAATACCAGGTTGGAAGGTACCTGAAGGATCATCTGGCCCAATCTTTCTTGGCAAAAGCACGAGCTAGACAAGATGGCCCAGCAGCCTGTCCAGTTGAATCTTAAAAGTGTCCAATACTGGGGAATCCACCACTTCCCTGGGGAGATTATTCCAGTGGCTGATTGTTCTCACTGTGAAAAATATTCCTTTTGTGTCCAGTTGGAATCTCCCCAGATGTAACCTGAACCCAATACCCCTTGTCTTTTCCCTGTGATTCTTTGTAAAAAGGGAGTCTCTGTCTTCTTTGTAGCCACCCTTTAAATACTGGAATATGGTGATAAGGTCTCCCCTAAACCTTCTCTTCTCAAGGCTGAACAAACCCAGCTCTCTCAGCCTTTCCTCACGTGGCAGGCTGCCCCGTTCCTTGATCACCTTTGTGACCTTTCTCTGGACACTCTCCAGCCTGGCCACAGCTTTTTTTTTCATAGTGGGGACCAAAACTGAACATGGTGTTCCAGGTGTAGCCTGACAAGCGCTGAGTAGAGTGGGATAATGCCTTCTTTATCTCTGCTGGTGATGCTCTTGTTGATGCAGCCCAGCATCCCATTGGAATTCTTTGCTTCTGCAGCCCACTGGTCACTCATATCCCTTGTTGTCCACCAGGACCCCCAGGTCCCTTTCCACGCCTGTGCTTCAGGACCTCTGTCTCTGAACACAACAAATGGAAACATTTCCTTTTCTAGCATGGTTTAGCAGGAGAGATGATCCACATCTGTGGTTTAGCAGAAACAAAATGTGTGCTTGAGGAGCTCCTTGGATTTACACAGTTGTATTCTGTGTCCGTCAACAGTCATCCAAGTTCAAACTGCTGTAAAACAAGCTCAAATTGGACAGGCATTAGCCTTGGCCATGTGGTTGTAAATGCGGCAGTGCTGATGCCAAGGAGAGTGGCTGCAAAGGAAAGCGAACGATTAACCTATGAGAAATTGGATCCTGGTGATAAAATGAAGGACGGTCTAATGAGGAGCAGCGAAAAGGCTTCCAAGGCAAGGATCAAACTCTAGGATATCAGGTTTGGGCCCTGCAAAAGAAAACTGGCACTTGTTCCATGCAGTTGTAGGAAGGGGAAGGTTGCCTATCATGG